GGGGCGGATTGCCAGTTTTAAGTTTTTAGTTGAGTGAATCCTCTTTAATAACTTTCCCCTTGTTCGTCCCAGGTACACCGACCTGAGTCAGTTTGTCGATCAGATGTTCCCCCCGCTGCAGCAGTCGGCCTACTACGACGGCTACAGCTCCTTCATGTTCTGGCGGCCGGACATTCCCGAGCTGGACGACGCCGAGCTGAAGGACGCCAAAGACTGAGGAGACTGAGATTGAGAGAGAAAGTGCAGATCTGCCGCAAACCTGTCACCAAAGCACACCAACACCCTTTATTTTATCCCTTTACCTCTTCATGGCTTTTCTCCCCTACAAAAGTGTTCTCTTCCCTTTGCTTCTTCCCCCGAGTTGTTTTGTTGTTTTTCTGCTCTACCTACCTACCTGTGAATAAGTGCTCGTCTCGTCTTTCATTTTTATCTTCTCGTCGTCTACTATCCCCCCCAAGTTTTTCTCCTCCTTCTTCGGACTGTTCTTACTAGTAGTGTTGTTGTTACTGTCAATTATTTTTATTACTGATTGTCATTATTATTATTAAATGTTTTTTATTACTCTTGATTTGGTGATTTACAAATCGGAGGTGTTTTAGGCAGAAAGTATCATTGCTTACCAGGGCAGCACCTTCCCGGCAAAGCTGATGAAGGCACCCGACTGCGACTGGTCGGCCTCCATGATCACCTCGAGAACACGGTTGGCCCTCTCTGACCACCTGCCGTAGGACGCAAACTTTGTGCCCATGTCCATCTGCAGCCAGCCCGGGTGAAGGGCCAGGATGATGATCTTCGAGGGCGCAAGGTCCACGGAGAGCGACTTGGAAATCATATTTTGGGCGGCCTTGCTCGAGCGGTACGCGTAGCTGCCGCCTGACTTGTTGTCATCGATGGAGCCCATCTGCGAGGAGATGTTCGCGACGATGGTCTTCTGGCCGGAGCTGGCGGAGGCCTACAGAAAAGATGGAAGAAAAGAAGTTAGAAAAAAATGAAAGAGTCACGCCCCGGAAGGTTTATACCTTGAGCTGCGGCAGCAGCGCTTTGGTGAGCACCAGCGGCGCCACGGCGTTCACCTCAATATTCGTCAGCATGTCCTTCGGGTTGACCTTCTCCAGGCTGTCGCGAATGTAGATGCCGGCGTTGTTGATCAGCAGGTCGAGGCCCTCGCCGGCGGTGATCGACGCCACCTTCTCCACCACCTGGTCGTAGGAGTCGTAGGCGGTGGCGTCGTACTGCACCACAAAGAGGTTCTCCACCTTGCCCTTCATCGCCTCCAGTTCGGCGTTGGAGGTGCGCACCGTGGCGATGACGCGTCCGCTGATGGGCAGCAGATCCTTCATCAACTGCCAGCCAATGCCTGTAAGAGGGTGTGATTAGAATTTCAAAGGTTTCGGTCAATGATTGACCTGTTGTTACCTTGGTTGGCGCCGGTCACCATAACATTACGGAAGATGGTCATGATGAGTTTGCTTGGTTGGTTGGCCTTTTGCTTGACTGTGAAATAAGGCGAGTGTAGTGGCTGGGACGCCAGCTCCTATAAATGCTCTCTCTGCCCTGTTCTGTCACTGGCTAATCTTCCGGACAGTCGCTTACTCGTCGTCATCACCAAGAAGCGCATCAAGCTGCCTCATGTGTCCAATGCATATTGCCCACATTCCTCAGCTCTCTACAGCAGCAATCCAGACATAACATCCGCCGTACTCTCCTGCACAAGCAAGCCAGCAGTCAGCACTGTAAACATCCAGCTGCCTCACCCTGCCGGCACAGCGCCGGATCGGCACCTTTCTCTCTGCTCGCTCTCATTGCTCTGTACGCCCTTCTTGTCTCAGTCCCAGTAAAGGCATCCGCCATAAAAGCTCAGAGTCTGAGCGCCCGAGCCAACTCGCACATGATGCTAAGGGGTGGAGCCTATTGAAGTGCAGTGTGGCAACCGGTTGTGAGCTCGGATTCGCAGCGCTTGTTGACTGGACCGGAATGCTGCAGCTGGGGGACGATTCGGGTGAAAAGGGTTTTAGAGTTTATTTTAGGTGACTCGTGGAATTCTCTCGTCAGGTCTTGCCTCGGTGAGTGTATGATCCGGAGTGAGGTGAAATGTGTCTGTCACGGTGATCACATTTGCACAAATTTCTTGTACCATTGCTAAATTTGGTATCGTTGGAAAGCTTAGGACCAGAGGAACAAAATGGCCTAAGCCGTTTAGCCCTAGCAAATCTGGTTCGTCCACAAGGGGGCGCACAAGGTCATGACTTTCAAAATTTTTTTTGAATTTAATAGTAAGTTTTTTCAAATAAATTGTTTTTTATAATATAGATAGAGCCTGTGCATACCCGTTAAATTTTAGTTTGTCAAAATCCGCTAACTAGATTAAAATTTATGAGTTAAAATTCAAAAAATGTTGTATTTTGTGTTTTTTAATCATTTTTTTCGCTGTCTAGATCATTGCAAAGCATTTAATTGTAAATTTCTATATTAGTTTTAGCTTGCAGAATACTTATTTTTAGTTTTTAAAGATTTTTAAATTGACCGGAAGTGGAAGATCGGTTATCGATTTTCTACTTCCGGTTGGTATTTTGTTCCGAAACTATTTTTAATCGATTCCTCGTGTTGGAAGACCATAAATAGGTATTTTGTTAAGTGAATTTTTATTAAAATTCATTAAAATTTAAATTGATTAATTTTGTTATTTTTACAAAAATTTCAAATGTGTATTTTGGTTCTAATTGCTAGGTGCCTGCTAGGTACCAGCTACATATTTGGTACTGGTGAAAAGCTAATAAATAGGAGAATTCAACACCGTTTACCGTTTGTTTCTAGCAAATCTGGTTCTCCCATCAGAGGGCGCAAAGTATTAAGTTAATGAAATACATGCTTTAAACTTTCTGGCGGGAGAACCAGATTTGTTAGAGACAAACGGTAAACGGCGTTGAGTCATTATTATTAAATGTTTTTTATTACTCTTGATTTGGTGATTTACAAATCGGGATTATTTTTTAGACAGAAAGTATCATTGCTGTTGCCTACCAGGGCAGCACCTTCCCGGCAAAGCTGATGAAGGCGCCCGATTGCGACTGGTCGGCCTTCTGGATCACATCGAGCAGGCCGCGGACGCTCTCCTGCGGCGTGGTAGGGGCAATCTTCGTGCCCATGTCCGTCTGCACCCAGCCCGGATGAAGGGCCAGGATGATGATCTTCGCCGGGGCAAGGTCCACGGAGAGCGACTTGGAGATGATGTTCTGGGCGGCCTTGCTCGAGCGGTACGCGTAGCTGCCGCCTGACTTGTTGT